TTAAAGGTGGAAGGGCGGGGCTCCGCGTGGGTGTCCCGTGGGGGGTGGTGGGCGGGTTCCGGAATACCCTGCCCCCCTTTAGAGGATGTTAATGTCGTGGCCAAAAGGAACGGGGGAAACCCCGGTCTCTTTGGGGGTGGGGGGGGTTAGAAACCAGGGGGTGTGAAGAAACAAACAACACCCGGAGCGGGAAACAAGGCCCCCATTTTTTGCCCTTTCCATGGAAAGGTTTCCGAAACCATGGAACCCCCCCCCCTATAGGTTCGGCAGAGGTTCTCAAGTTTCCGGGAAGACCAGGGGGCAGGCATTTCCCCACGCATTTCCCCCCCCCCCCCCCCCTTTTTTGGGCCCCCCCCCCCCCCCCCCCCCTCCCGCGTCCTTCCGCATCGACCGTTCGCACGAAACAGCCCCGACGCCTACACGCGCCTGGTGCTCGAAGTGCTTCGGGGGAAGCAGGCGACCTTCGTGAGGAGCGACGAGCTCCTGGAGTCGTGGAAAATATTCACGCCGGTGCTGAACTTGATCGATGCCGGAGAGATCCCGCCGCTGCCGTACAAGTTCGGCACCCGAGGCCCCGAGGAGAGCGACGAGCTCATCGAGAAGATGGGCTACACCTACAACAAGAACTACGACTGGGAAGAGGCCCACAAGGAACACAAATGACAGTCCCGAGGGGGGAGGTTAGGGCGATCCAAGCTGTGACGATAAGGTTGGTCGGGGTTTGGTAGCCTAACACCCCCAAACCTTTTTTTCGCTTTTTCGCCAAAAGCTTGCGTTTTTTTTTTTGCGTCGTCTGGTGTACATGCTCACGCCTATTCTTTTTTCCGGCGGTGGGCAGGTTGACTAACGATTTACTGGTGAGGATGTTCAGGTCCCAGGACAGGTCAGGGGCAGCCCCGGCGACAGTCTGATTCCAACTGCAGTTGTTGGGTGATCATCACCTCACCGGGTCTTCCACCGACCTTTCTTTGCCCTCCCTTGAAAGGGATCGACGCCTGGATTGCAATTTGTATGGTATGCATGTGCATACGATGGGTGCATAATTGGATCAAAGGGCCACGAGGCTTTGTGAGGACACAACCGTTTTGCCTCTGAGTTCATAAGAGTTTGGCGGACAGAAAGAAACTCACGGCTACAACAAGAAAATATTTTCGGAGAAAGAGAACCAAACGTCACGGAGGCGAATTCGTCGTATCGTAAGTAAGTTGGTGGGATCATGGTAACGCTTGCTTGTTTTGTCTTTGTGATGGTGACGAGTTGACGTCATGGTCTCGGCCAAGACTTGAGTTCGTTGTTGTTGGGAGCTATGGGGTGGTAGATATTTACCAAGTACCAATCAATACGGTACGTGGTAGGAGTAGACCTGTTGCATGTTGCGAACGGTGACGATCGGTTATGATTCTTGTCGAGAAGTTGACAGAGCCGATGTATGTGTTGCGGGAGGGATGCCGGCCTACCTATGCATACAGCCAAAGATAGGTAAAATAACATCGAACGTAGAATTTATGGGATCGGTGGTTTTCAAGAAGAGTTGAGAGACGTTTGCCAGCAAATCGCGCGCTACGACGGGACGGGAAAGGCAGTGCGGTATCGTATCGTCCTCCTGACGGGCGTTTGAACAATCCATTCTGAATTTATCGGGATCAACACCGCAATGGTGCAGCACCTCTCTCTGTAAGTCGTCTGCGCCGCCACACCCGCACAAGAAGATTTACTTCTCATTGTTAATGTTAACTTTTTCTTAAGAACGCCAGTTCGCCCGATCTTGCGAAAAGTTCCCCAGCGATTTGCTAGAGACGGACCGCCAAACGAATCTTCTCGTGTTGACGTCGGGAAAGGATATTGTTGCCCATTTAGCATTCACAAAGCGTGTGTGTGGTCGTCCCATCATCTATTCTGGCGCCGGTTTACAGGCCTTTCGGCGTATGATATACCGTATATGACACAAGATAACACACCCCCTGGACCGATTTTCAAAGCTCGATTACTCCACGACGAAGAGGATGCATAAACGAAACAATACGTTTTCGAACAGCTCTCGACGAGACGGTTCCAACGCCGCCGTTTTCGGCGCTGTGACTCTTCCTGCTGTTGAGAAATTGAGCTTTGAAAATCGGCCAAGGGGGTGTGTTATCTTGTGTCATATACGGTATGCCTGACGCATCAGCCGGGGTTCACACATTGGGCAAACGAAATAAAACCGGCATGCTGTTCTCTTTTGGAAAAAATCAACGTTAGGCATGCCCCGCTGCAAAATGTCTTGCGTCTGGCTGGGCTCACAAATGAGGGGAAAACATGACTCACGAACCTCCCCCCGAGTAACCATCAACCAACAACTCCAACGAAGCACAACGGCAGTGCCTCAACAGATATGTTTCGCTACTGTAATTATTCCTCCCGTCGCGTAAACGGTGCCCTATTTAGCTGCCTGTCATCACTTCGGAGAGGGAAAGTAGTCTGCGACATGCCTTCCCGCGCGTGTACTGTACGGTCATTGGCGCTTGGCCGCAGCAGGTGTCGCGACTTTTCTCTTCACGACAACCGGTGAGACCCAAAGGCCTGCAAGGATCGCAACGTGGCACACCTGTCGAAAAGGGCGGGAAAGCAGCAGTGTACCGTGTTCGAAATAAACTGTCAACCCGGAAGAAAAGTCATATAGCCCATCTTCTCCGGTGACGATATTCACAAGGCTGTTTCGAATGTAGTACTGCTGACGTGAGCATACTGCGACAAAGACGCAAATATCACCGATAGGCAGAAGACTCCGCGAGTGCTCGAGCGTTCGGGCCACCCCACCAATCCTGCCGCACTCACGCACGCACAGGACTGCCTGATCACTTCGGCTTCACAAACAGTGAACTACTGCGTACGTGTGCTACAGTACTGTAGAAGCACCATATTCAGTACATGTTTATGACAGCTTCAAATGTTGTACGGAGAGTGTTCACCTACGTAGCTCTACCGCTGCATGGTCAAGAGTCCCCAACGCTCGCTACTCTATGTAGCTTTGGCAGGGGTGTCTAAGCCCACCCACCTGTAGCACACCGGAAGACAACGCGGTAGCGGGGAAGACATTGAAGCCGACCTCCACACCGCAGAGCACCACCAGGCGAAGGGCCACCGGGAGACCCGTTTGCCACAGGAGAAAAGGGAGCGTGTGGTAGTACCACGAGTAGAACTGGGACATGGAAAAGAGCGAACAGCGCCAAAAACGAAAACGACAAAAACAAATCCGATCGGACATCATGTACACCAAGCATAAAAAAGAGATCGCGATACATTTGAAACGTCTCAAAGCTTCGGTTCGCCGGGCCGGCTATTTGGGGCCCGTCACACAGCGTTTCCAATCGGCACCCCACCCCCCATGCCGAAACTATTAACTACGAAAGGACAGAGATCGCCAACGCTGGCGAATTTTCGATGTCCAAAAACCTGAGGGCGTAGCGTCTGCTGCGAAGCTACTCCGTCCTCACCTGATAATGCAGGCTACGGCAGAACACGATCCCGATGAAGTTTGACACGAAGAGGGTCTTGACCACATATTCCGGGTGGAGACGCGCATTCACGGCGCCCCCGGTAGCCCCACCCGCCCCCTCTCCGGCACGCAGATCGCTGGCCGAGAAGGTCTCGACTTCTCGCGCGGACCGCAACCACTTTGATGCGAAGAGGGCCAGCACTGCGAGGGTGAGGGCCAGCAGAGCTATCGACAGTCCGGGGCTAACGAAAGCTTCCTCCGTCAAGAACTTGAAGTTAACGGTCCACTCAAACTTGAAGACGCGGCCGAGCTCGAACGATCGCGACAGGTAGGCCACGGGGTGATGCAGCAGGAACGGTGCTCCAAGGAGAAGCTGCCGCACAGAAGCGAGCGAAGACGAACCACAGGGCAAGGGCACCGAGCGTGACAACCAGCGGATGGCGGTCGTACGGCATTGCAATGGACGTGGGGAGAGTGCAGAAGTGGGCCGTGTGTTTTGTGTGTGTGCGTTAATTCGTCTCATCTGTTCTGGGTGCCAGTCTAATACCTTCCGGTGCATATCTCAAGCACCAACCTGGGGCATACAGGAGGACGGTAACACAGAGGATTTTTGTTTTTCTCGGCGCACAGAACGAAAAACCCTAGAAAAAATGCTTATTCCGACCTCTCCAGACGAAACACCTGGGGTGTCATCACCGTATCCAGCCTCTGGGCCGAGATTACTTCCGTAACAACTACCGGAGACAAAATTTGAACTGGCAGGTCAGGGCATGCGTAAGAAAGTCTCGGCCGGGGATTGCCGCACCAACACGAGCGAGTGCCGCAAGTACCACCCGCCCACCCCCACACGCACCTGCACCCCGGCGCAAATGGAAAGGCAAACCGCGGCGCCCCCAACCCCGTTCGCCTGCACAAGGAGCAGCAGCAACCCTGGCGCGAAGAGCAGAATGTTCATCTTTACGCCCACGGCCAAGCTGTAGCTCACGCAGCCCAGACGCCACCTGTAGGCAACGAACCGGGCATGGACGGGAGGTGATTACCGCTAGCGGCGAGCTTTCCCGACGGAGAGCCGCAGGCAAGACAATCAAGGCTGAATGAAACTTTCTCGCTAGCCTCGCGGGAGCGTCTCATACGCGCCTGTACAAACTGGGAAACTAGTCGCAGAGTCGAGGTCGAGGAGGCAACTACCTGTTGAGGAGAAAGAGGTACACCGCCCCATACAGGAGCCACATTGCCACACCATCGTTGAACAGCCGGAGCACGAAGATGGAATGGACCCTGCCGCGATGAAGACCGAGAACGAAAAAAAAAATGGGACAAGTGAAAAAATTGTGCGCCAATCAGTCTCAGCGTGATGGTTTTTTGCGACTGTGTAAGCCTTGTACATGGCTTGAGACCCACTTGCGATTCAAGCGCAAACGCGCAGTTGGCACAAACTGCTGTCACCACTCGTGGTCCAGAATTATTTATGGGACGACACACACACTGAATATCCGACTTTAGGACCGAATATCGTGATTGGCCCATAGGTTAGCGCGGTCGACGTCAATTCAAGAAGCTACTGTAACACACGTGGATAGGCCAACATCCTCAGCCGTTCTGGCAACCCCTGAGCGGCTCACAACTAGCGCCATCGCTGGCTCCCAGGCATGTAGCACACGCACCTCCTAGATGTGCATACGAGAAGAATCGACCAGAGCGGCATCGCACCGCTTCCCGCCCTGCGGTAGATGGACAACACCATCACCATGAGAGACACGTACACGCCCATGAAAATGTATTGAGCGGTGAAAATGTCTTCACCGCGGTCCGTCACCCAGTACAACAACTGCAGCGAAAAAGGGAGCCAAAGCAAGGCAGGCAGAGCGATAGACGAAACAAGAGACAAGATATGACATGCATGTTGAGCGGAATCTCGCAGATGCATGTTGCTGCTGCTGCTGCTGCTGCTGCTGCTGCTACGGCGGCTGCTGTTGGGTCGTGTTGTGTGCAATGATTTGCGCGTGTTACATGTGTCTCGTTGTTTATGGCTTTCGATGTACCGCTCCGATACATGCCGCAAAACGGGGAGGCTTGGGGGACAAGCATAAACGCGAATTTCGATCTCGATTGCATTGATCACAATGTTCAGACCTCCTTGAGAACACAACCCACAGATATCGGATACTACGGTAGGACGCTAGAATTCCTCCCGCTCTCACCGAGTAGGCGTACACAAATCCCGCCGGATACACGAGCGGACCTGTGTCTCCCCGGAGATTGAGGTAATTCCTTTCTCCGTCAAGAAAGCCCTTGACTTCTTGCATGTACGCCACCCAGTCAATTTCTGTGTCTTTGCGGATCGATCCGAGGACAGACGGTGCACCACGGAACGGAGAGGAGAGGGGCGATACATTCAGCGAACAACCAACCGCATGGTTCACAATATTCAACGGGCAACACTTTTTCACTACAGTACTGCCGTCGGTCGCAGAAGATACCACACTCCCTGGACCGAGCTTTTAAGTTCGACTACTGCACGATGAAGACGATGCCAAGATCAAGCGATGAGTTTTAGGAAAACCCTCGACGAAACCGTTCCAACGCCGCCATCTTCCTCGCCGTCAGAAGTAGCTGTGTCTGCGGAGAAAGAGTAGCCGAGCTTTGAACATCGGTCAAGGGGGTGTGATATCTTACGCCACAAAAAGGCGGCAGGATATACTGCTGCAACACACCCCGAGGTCGTGACATGGACAGGGAACGGTAGAGGATGACAGGCAGAAGCTCTCTCACATGCAATACGCGCGATGATAATCCCGCACAAGGCTATCTCCGCGAGCACGGCACCGGCGAGCGCAAGCGAGACTAGCCCGCCGTCTCCTCTTGCATCGCTCCGAGCCAGAGAGCTCGTGGCAACCCGCAGCAAACGATTAGCAGTGCCGAACATGGGCGTTCAGGGAACTGCAAGCCAGCGTAGTGCTGCTTGCAGCAGTGAGTAGAGATGTGGTCGCTGAACAGACAGATTGGCTGCTCACTAGCAGAGGGCGACGTGTGCGCGTGTACGCGGGTTTTTGGTGCCAAATGCCTATTTGAGGGAACCAGGGAGTTGTACGATTTAGTCGCGCGGCGGGTTTTTGGTTCGGGCGGGAGTACGACATCCCCCCCCCCCCCACCGTCTCGCTCTCCTGTCGCATGCATGTAGACAAGGTGGGCGAAGCTGGCACCTGGCGCCCCAAAGGCAACCATGGAGGAAGAGAATATCATCATGATCAGGGGCTTCCCCGTTTCCTTTCCAAAGGTATGAGACACACGCCATTGCTGGCTTGGTGTTGTTGATTCCAACGGCAGCGTAATCTCTCTGTTGTGCCCTATGCGATAAAGGGCAGACCTCTGTCCTTGGTCCCGTCTGCTGCTCCTTGCAAGAAGTGGACAGCCATGACAACGGTGCAGTGGTTGCGGTGCACGAGTGTCGGGCTGCGTCGGCCTACAAGCAACTACCCCCGCCGTATGTGGTGGACAGCGTTTCAAATCCGTTAGAGATTTTCATCATCTCAAATTCAAATTTCACAGAAAAAAATGTTCCTGGTTCCTGGTTCCCCCATCCATCCGCAAAAATGATGTCCGTGATGATGTGTATGCACATGGCATGTGTACATGTATACGTCGTGATCGAGACCCTATTGGATACTGAAGTATACTGCTGTACAAGATATACTTTGCATTTGCCATGCACCACCCACGATGAACATTCATTCATGAGAATCCTCATGATCAATCCTAAGGACTGCCACCCAGCGTACCTCACAGAGGAACAGGTGTACAAGTACAACATGGAGCATTACGACTCCGTTCGGAAATACCAGGGACCATTGGGACAATCACATTTTTTAGTATGTTTCGAATGATCCTTTTATTGCAAAAAAAGACTGGTAGAGTAGCAATACAAGGTAGACTACAGCATTACAGTGCCTTTCGAAGTAGTATTGCTGTACAATTTGTAGTCTACACCCGAGGGAAGACGCCGCTTCTCAGAAAATCTCTTCGAGAGTCGAGAGCGTGCAGGCACCGTGTTTCGGCCAGTGTTTCTTTCCGGAAACCTCGCTTGAGCTATCCATATTTTAACAAGGAACATTCATAACATTGTGAAATGAGTTTTTCCTCGTTTCCGAGATGTACATGTCTGCATACAGAGTTACTTGTTTCGATGCCGGTCTCATCAAGCCCCCATCTTTTCTTCGCGCCTCTCGTATACACCTGCTGACAGGGCCGCAAACCGTTCGCGCCGCAGCTGGCCCTCATGTCCAAGCTATTGGTGGGCGTGCAGAAAGGCGAGAACTGCCTGCTAGAGAGCCCGACAGGGACGGGGAAGACCCTGGCGTTGCTCTGCGCAGCTCTCGCGTGGCAGAGGCAGCAGAGGGAGCAAGGGGTCGCGGCGGAGACGAGCGATTGCGAGAGCGAAGAGGAACCGATGATCGACTTGGGCCCGCACGAGCCCCTCCGGTCTTTCAACGACTTCCGGTACGTGGAGCCCAAGGTGCAGCAGCAAGCTCCCATCGAGCTAGCCTACGAGGATGCTGTCGAGCCAGGCAAGCAGGAGGAGCCGGCGGGAGACCGGACCAGCTTCTACGATGACTATGACGACGACGATGACGACGTGTTCGAAAGCCCCAAGAAGAAGCGCCAAAAGAACAAAGACGTCGAAGAAGAGATCGATTCCCCCGAAAACAGTGATGCTCCGCACCGCGATTCCCACCAGGATTCTCCGGACAGCCCCGTTCCCGACGAGCCCAATCTCGGCAAACCTCCGTCGGAGGCGGTAACGCCCGACGACGTGAAGCCCAAAAAGCGGGGCAAAGCGGTCAAGCAGGAGGCGAGGAGGAAACGGGCGCCCCGGGTGTACTTCTGCTCGCGAACGCACTCGCAGCTGAATCAGGTGGTGGCGGAGCTGCGGACTTGCCGGACCGCCTTTCAGGACACCTCCGCGGTGGGCATCGGCGACGACGGGAAACCGTTTAGCATGGCCTTGCTCGCCTCTCGCAAGAGCACGTGTATCAACCGCGAAGGTCAGCTGCCAGACGGGGATACTTGTTTTCCACGCCCCGCATGCCTTGCCTGCTGTTTCGTGCCTTTCAGAGGTTTAAAGAGGCTTGAAGCTGGAACAAAATATGGGACACCCGGAGAAGAGGAGGGAGCGACCGCACCATCGAAGTTACATATTATTTTTGTCATTGTTTTCTTCTAGCGAGGTTCTCTCTGATAATTCGCTTTTGTTTTGCGTTCGTGTCGCCGCTGGTGATACGGCCGGCGGCTCGCTGGCAATGGGCAAAGCTTGTGACTTCTTCTGATCTGCGGGGCCCCTTTTAATTCTCTATTCCGCCGCCATCCTCCCGGCAGCCTGCAGCGACCCCAAGGGCATCGACGATGCTTGCAAGCGGCTGCTGAAGGAGAAGGCTTGCACCTACTACAGGTGCGCGAGTAAATAAGAGCTGAGAGTCACAGACGGCGAGGGAGGGAGAGAGAGAGAGAGGGATGGGTTTCGAGCCTTGTTCGAAAGCTTATGTGTGTTTGTGTTTCTTTGTCGAAAAGCTGTTGCCGGCGGTGACTTTTTGCGGTGGTTCCCAAAAGCAATCCGCTGGAAGCTTCTCGAGGACGTTGGCCACTGCAACCGGTGTTCTCGTGGAATACAACTAACTGCCTGGCAGATCAAGGCCGGCGAAGTTCCGCTAAACCTTCCTCCGTGTTTCTGGCTCCGCTGCCAGGCGAGCAAAGTGGGCGCAGACCAAGCTTCCTCCTGTGTGGGACGTAGAGGAAGCTGTTCGCATGGGACAGGAAAATCAGGCATGCCCCTACTACACGGCCCGAGCCTCTCTGGTCAACGCAGACTTGGTCCTTTGGTGGGTACCCGCGATTTTCTTATCTTAACCGTGTGTAAGGACACGCAAAACAAGCTGGACAGCGACTAACAACTTGTTGGCGCAGCAGCCGAACGAATGCCTGTCCGCCTGACCCTCCAGCGGAAGGCTGGCTACCCGTCGTTGCTGTACATGAGCTTTCGCCGTTGCTGTACCTTTTCCTCCGATCAATGCTCTCTCCCACACTTGTGTGACGGGGCCTCTTTTTCTCTTTACGCGTGCCCCTGACGGTTCTGTGCCTTTCTTGGCAGCCCGTACAACTACCTGGTGGACCCGGGTGTCCGCGAGATCATGGGGATCAATCTCAAGAATGCGGTGGTGATATTCGACGAGGTATGCAACCATCAAGCCTGCGGCGTGTTTGCTCGCCGCAACAACAGTCCCAGCCTATTTCGTTTGCCTCAAAGTCACTCGAAATGCAAAAGCTGTACCTGTGCGATGGTTGGTACATCCTTCCGTCTTTTCTCGTTTGCGTTTTTCCCTGTGCATGTTGCGGCATTCAGTGGAGGACCTACCAGGATCCACGCCGAGGATGTTCTCCACAAAAGTTTGCATGATTCTTAATCCGAGAAATGGTTTTGTTCGGACACGGGTGTTGACGTATCCAGGCGCACAACCTGGAAGACTCCGCGAGAGAGGCCGCCAGCGCCAAGTTGTCGTTGCGTGCTCTCGCCAATGCGGCCGGCGAGATGCATCGGCTGGGGGCGAAATGTGAGCAATTCTTGTCTCACGACAGCAGTATGCGATACAGGGCTCTCAATAGCCGCGCCGCTTATAGTACTGTAGCTATCCGACAAGGGCTGGTGTTTTCCGTTCGTGGGCTGGTGTTTTGATGTGTCGGCTGGGACGTCCCCCTTGCAGGATACTTCTAGAAATGTGCCGCAGACTCCTGCTGCGTGCACGCGCATGGGTACGCAGTGTCGATCAAACGCGTTTCGTGTGGTACGAGTTTTTCGCCGGACCCAAGGCAGAGCGATTCGCCCATACAATGCACCCGTCAAGCACCCTCACCGTGCGAAGCGCGGAGTTTGTGGTACGTTTTATGCACCGCCTTTTCCAACAGCGCGGCTAGTGACAGACGACGCATACGGTCGTGTGCAACCTCGCTCTCGGTAGGAGTCAACCTCCCGTTCCAGGACCCGAATTTTCGAGATTGGATGCGCTTAACCCCGTTGCTGTATTCCCGTTCCTGTGGTACCTCTGTCGGTCCAGCTTTGTCCCTATCTCCCTCGTATGACCTACTGCGGGGAGTGATCATCGGCGTTCAAGCCTTCCTCGAGGAAGAGGACTCGCGTCTCACCATTGGCAGCTACGAAAAGGTGTCGTGGAGGATCGTGTGTTGTTGCGATTCCTGTGAGCGCGCGATTTCGGCGTGTATGCTGCCCAGCACGGCTGGCTGCTTCTGCCCCCACACCCGGACGGCGCTCGTGCTCATGTCCGCGTGTTCCGTGTTAAAGGGTAATCCTTTAGACTACCCAGTCAGCGGTGGCCAAGTAGTCCAGTCGATTTATTAGGACATGTAAAAGGTGGTTCTCAGGGGGGCGTGAGGTAATCATGACGCATGTTCCGGCCGCACTTTTGCCCAGGCGCACAAGGTCTACAAGGGAGCAGAGGCTCTCGGATTGATGCAGTCGAGGGCGGGGGTAACCTCAGAGTCCCTGGTGTACCTTAAGGAAGCTCTCAAGATGGTGATCAACGAAGACGGGAACGCAGACCCATATGCCAGGGACCAGGTGACCAAAATGCGCAAGTTTTTTGTGTGTCCTGGTGGGAGACCCGAGTGTAAGGTCTTGGCACGTGAAGTTATTGTTACGTAGTATAATTTGACGAGCCGTTCGTGATGGATGCAACAGATCAAAAGCGTTGATGTGCATTCATCGGGTTCGTCCGCTGTTTTTACCCCTTCGAAGGGGTGCGTGCTCGTTACGGCACACGCGCCGATCGACGTGTACTACATACTGCTGTAGGATTCAAGACCCCGGTGCCCCGTTCTCGAAAGGGGTATGCACACAAGCATCCGATGATGATCAAACGTCTAAGACCTGCGACCCCCCCCCCCTCCGCGTGCCGCTCTCTACAGGCCGACGGCGCTAGCTTCGACCATCGGCTCGGTGGGGATGAGGTGCTGAGCAGTGGGTCGGTACACGTGACCGCCTCGCTCGTCAAGGTCCTGGGGTTCCTGCTCACAGAAGGCATGGAGAACGTCGACCACTACAAGATGGTGGTGCTGAGAGAGCGAGGGCCTTGGGAGCCGGTTTCCTCGAGGGGGAGGCGAGGGAGGAACCGCCCGGGGTCGGGGTCGATCACGGCGATGGAGACGTACCTCTGCTTCTGGTGCCAGAGCGCCAGCACTTGTTTCTCCGAGATCGACAAGCAAGTGCACTCCGTCGTCCTCACTTCCGGTGAGAGGGGAGGGGAGGGGAGGGGAGGGAAGGGAAGGGGGGGGCGGACGGAGCTGCTTGTGGTGCGATGAATACGTGCAGGGGCCGGCGAGCTATAAATCAAGCAATTGGACTTTTTAGTCAGACGTCGGGTCGGCGAGGTGTGGAAGTCGGCTGACTATATAGTCTAATGGTTTGATTTCGTCTTCCACATAGTTTAAGAGTCAAGGGCGTCTGTCTGTTCTGACGTGGTGGGCAGCAACCTCCGACCACCCTATGCATATGACGCGAGACACATATCCCGCGCTTGGAATGGGAGTCCGTCGTGCCGCATACACACATAGAAGGAAGGCTAGGCCACATTGTTTTTGCAGTTGGGAAACGCTGCTGTTGCCCCCCCCTCCCCCCCTCCCGTACCACGTCGCCCCCAGGAACCCTTAGCCCGATGAACTCCTTCGCGGGGGAGTTGGGCATTGAATTCCCTCACCGGCTGGAGGCGAACCACGTTATCAACGTCAAGAAGCAGTGCCTCGTTACCAGCGTTGGGTACTTCGGCAAAGTCAGTCTGGACGCAAGGTAAAAGCTGAGATGATGTAAGGTTGCAGCATGTGGCACGCAGGTTCAAGAGTGACAAGCGCATGGCCTTAAGTTGGTGCTTGGTGGTAAAGGCAAGTCTGGCAAGGGGGCGCGAGAGAGGTAGCCAGTGAAAGACGACTGTCATGCGTGCACCGTCGTTATGACAGTCGGAACGCTCAGCTTTTCTTGTTCAAGGTTAGGATCGGCAGGTTATTCCAGGGTGATGAAGCGCTTGGTGTCTTTTCGAGGGCACGTCTTTCGTGGGTGGCTTTCGGGTCGTTGCAATCGAGAGGCTGCATGCCCATGTCCTCGTGTCCGTCAACACTGTAGAGCTATGAGCAATGGTTTGATGTCGTACAATGAGGTCCTCTCCCCGATTGTCTTGCGCGACAGCAGTAGCTCGCTCGCACCCTTGTACCCGTTTCTTGACCACCACCACGAGAAATGAGGCAGGCGTGTCTCTGCCTTCGGTCCTCGTGAACAGCCGCGTCAGGTGAAGAACAAGGTTTTAATAATAGTACCACCTTCTACTTTGCGCTCGTTGCGCTCTCTTGACGTTCGACAGGTACACGAATCAGCACGACCTAAAGTACCAAGACGCTCTCGGCAACGCCCTCCTCCAGCACGCGCGCGTCGTCCCCGGGGGCATCCTGGTTTTCTTCCCGAGCTACGGGTTGATGGACAAGATGCACGACCGATGGGAGGTGGTTAACACCGTTACAATCGTCTTGTCTGTGATTTTCAACACTAACAACCCTAACCCTAACCCTAACCCTAGCCCTAACCCTACTGCTGTGTACCTACCTCGTTAGATGATTTCGCCTAGATCCCCTTGGCAGAGTTGGTCGCGGCACTTCGTTTTTTCGCTACGACTAGACGCTCTGCGGCCGAATATTGTACAAAAGTATCACGAGGAGACCCTTTACCGCAAACGTATCGCATGCGTGGGGGGGAATTAAAGAGGCTATCAGCGGGGCCCCCGAAGGGGATACAGGGTCGGGGCGATGCATCCCGAGGTAGTCAGCCAGTTGTTTGAGAGGTCACGATTCCTTTCGTACGGCGTATTTTTCGCTTCACGTTGTTCGACTCGTTTCGTGCTTCGTCAGGTTACGGGCTTGCTGCAAGCTCTCCAAGAGATAAAGGGGGTCTACTTGGAGCCGCGGGGGCAGGGAAAAATCGACGGCGTGCTGGCGGAGTACTACGTGAGCGTCGCGCCGTTGTCCGTTTTTTTTTTCTTCCTCGCAGGACTTTGGGGAGAGAGCTACCTACTCGCATCGAGACTGATGACACCGCTGTATAGAATCTCCGTCTTAAATTTGCCGTTCGCCGACAGGTATCTTTTCGAGTCCGTGCACACTGCTTGCTGCCCATCTTGCGCCAACGTCTCAGAAACAGGATGGTGCGCGTTGTTGGCCGGGTACATGTAAGTGTGTTGATGCGTGTCGTTCGGCCTTCCCGTGTTATGTCCACCACGTCAGGAGGATATCGCGGCCGCCAGGGAGAATCAGTCATCGAAGGAGAATCAGTATCATTCGAGCACCCGGACTGGCGCGATGATGTTGGCGGTGGCCAGAGGCAAAGTGAGTTTGCCGATGCAGAATAGATGTCGGGGGGCGCGGAGGACACGATACGACGCGACGCGTTCAGGCCTGCGCCGATTGTCTTTGCTGATGTGTGGCACAGGCACCCTGGTCGCTTAGATGCGAGATGGTTCAGTCGGCGGTCGGCGAGCGAGCGACTCGCTGCGGCGGGGCTCGGTTCCACGACAGCGTGTACCCTGCAGGCAGTTTTTATCTTAAAGCTGACACCACGGCACACGTGGTCCACAAGAACAATTTGTTTTACTACTGCCGTACGTGGCGTGCTCTCCGTGAACACGTGCACGACCTCTGGACTCCCAATCGCGGCCCGCAGGTGTCAGAAGGCATCGACTTCAGTGACGATGCGGCTCGGATGTGCGTCATCGTAGGGATCCCTTATCCGAGCTCCAAAGACCTCCAGGTAGGGTGGGTTTTAGGGGGGACATGCGATACGTCCGTTCGTCGCTTACTGCCTTACCTTAGAGAGGGGCGAATCCCAGCAGCCCGGCTGTACGGAAGACGAAAAAGAGCAGCGTTATGGAACCCAAGGGGTTCCGCGAAAGTGCTGCTTATCTACATGCGGTTCAGATGCCCGTGTGAGGAGGAGCCCGGTACGAAAGGAACGGTTTGCTATCGTGACTGCGTCAGCAACATGTCTGGCAGAACAAGCGCAACTATTGTAGTTCAACCTACCACGCGAGCTTGAACTGTGAGGGCGGTACTGGTAACAGTGCAACCTCAGCAGCATTCAGCCCGTGCGGCTCGTCCAGCACGCCGCATACGCCTTCACGGAAGCCGTACAACGCCTTGCGGCCACCCAGGGATTTTTTTCGAGAGTTAGACGGTTCGCCCAGAACGGCCAAGATGTGCACCCCAGGTGACATACATATTGTATCACACCTTTTGCACCGATTTCCAGAGCTCGATCAGTCCACGACGAAGAGCGTCTCTTCGCGTGTTGATTCTCGTCCGCGGGATACGTTTGTCGTGTCCCCCCCCCCCCCCCCCCGCAGGTGATGCTCAAGAAGGAGTACCAGGACCAGCGCAGGACAAGGGACCCGCGGCTAGTGGGCGGGAGGGCGTGGTACAGCCTCCAAGCGTTTCGCGCGGTCAACCAGGCCGTCGGCAGGCAAGGAAAGGGCGATGCGATATGGCCCTGAAAAACAAGTTTTGGGACGGTGTTATTACACCCCCGCGCCGTTGCACTTTGAGACGAAACCTCTCTTGTCCGACTCTGGAGGTTCTGGTTGGGGTGTGCTTTGCACCCCTCGCGGGCGAACAGATCACCCGTGACTTCCGTCAATGCCCTATCGCAGCCGATTTCGGTACCGCAATTTCCTCGATACAACAAGTACCCGCCCTTTTGCACGCCGTCCTACTATGTGTCAGGTGTATTCGGCACAGAAGCGATTTCGGCGCCATTGTTCTGTGCGACCCCCGCTACGCTTCCTCGACGGAGACAACCGCCAGCCTGAGCAAGTGGGTGCGATCTAGCGTGAGGCAGTGCAGGAGCGTGGAAGTGTCCCTCCCGCTCGTTGAGGCGTTCTTCCGGCAGCACCAACCGCAAAAAGACCAGCATCACGCGGTACAGCCGGAGGCTTCCGCTTGTGCCGGCTCTAGCTCTGTCGGTGGCGACGGCGACGCCGGGTGTTGCGCCGGTGGTAACAACGGGACCGGCGATTGTGGCGAGAGTCGGGGGGGCCTGGAGCACAAGCCGGAGGGTGCAGCGGAAGGGTCGCTTGACCCTGGACTCGTGCAGCAATCGCTTTCGCAGGTGCGTTTTGGGGTTGTTGCACTTCGGAGTCATGTCGGGGGAGAGTGCCCGAATTCCCGAAGAATGCTGCCAAAACTCTGAACGCCCACGGTTCACCATCGTCGTGTTGAACGATTTACCGAGTCAGCACAATTGGCGTCTTGGATCTCACCAGATGTTCAGGCAAGGCTGCGCGGCCTCCAATCCGACCGACGACCCTGCGAACGGCGGTGCTGCGAGCCTTACCCAAGGGACCGATGGCCGTACCGCGCTCCAACTTCTCTCTCAAGGGACGACGACGAACGTCCCTCGCGTTAACCCGACGATCACGGCGCACGAAAAACCACACGCCGATCCTGAGCCGAGGCGGCCAGAAGGGTCTCTGTGGTGCCGCAAGGGAGGCGCTCTGATCTCGGGGGCTCCCCCAGGTGCGATCTCGGGTGTTGGGGTCGGTGGACCCCGTCTAGCGACGGCAATGGCTAGCACTCACCTCTACCGCACGATCATCGCCCTGACCTCCGATTGCACGACGTCGAGCGGGGGCAGCGAGGACGGCTTGCCTGACGCGGCCACGGTGATCGAGGTCCCGCGAGGCTGGCCGCTCGTTGAGAAGGTGTCCCAGGGGGAAGGGCGGTGGGTGGCTGGCGACGGCCTGGTGTACGCCCCCTTGTATTGCTCGTGTCCCGGCTGCCGACTAGCGCACATAGGGGAGAAGGTCATAGCGGCGGGACTAGGCTTCCAAGAGACGATCGGCCAAGCGTGGTTCTTCCCCTCTCTCGTTCATGCCGTCGGCATCGACTAGACATGCTTGAGTGCATGCGGGTGAAAGTGCTTGGTTTTTAGTTTTACGACCCCTGTATGTTGAGACATGTGATACATTCGGTGTGTGGGAGCGAGAAGGGGACAGGGCATGATTGACTTTGTCTCGCACGAGCTTTTAACTCAAGGTATCATGGATTTCGTCAGCAACGGTTGGTTGCGTTGTGCACGGAGCGGGATCGATGGATTGAGGTTGTGGTATTTTCATGGCGACTCGTGTTGATGTTGTTTTTCTTGAGTGAGTCAACGCCCGCGTTGGGATTTTTTTTATGACGAGGAGTTCATACCCAAGCGGGTGCAGCCCTCTCATCTTCCTGACGCTTGGATTGCAATGACACGGCCTGGTCATAAGCGCTTGATCGAAAAGAAAGGACTGACTTGATCGTCGTTACCCTTGAACCTAAACGTTTGTGAAAGTGTGAGGTGAGATTTCGTTTTTGTTTGGCGTCCCATTTATTCTTACGTACGTCAGTCTTTGAGAATACACACACCAAAGAGAGAAACGAGAAAATACCCCGTTCGAAGGCACGCAATGATGTTTTCTGGGTGGGTGCATCAAACGGGGCTCACACAGGAGGCAGTCCACTTTGGATCCGAAGACAAGAAACAACGGAAAACGAACATCAAAACGCGAGCTTGTCCCGGCAAATATACCACAGAGGGATCCAAAAATCAAGTCAAGAATGGAGGAGCTGTTGCTCTAGCCGCACCATTCCCCGCCCAAAACGTTGTTTCTCTCTCTACACGCTTCAACCAAGATGAACACGTCTCCCCCACGTTTCTAGAGTGTTCTACCCAATATTGCCAGGAAACAGCACAGTAAACAGGTCTCACCCACAACGGGCAACTCGATACCGCTCGACAACTACATACATATACAATGAACGTTGGTCATATCTGTCCCCCTCTCGGTCCTGGCGAGACGGACAAGGCCGAGAGCTTTGTGTGGGTTCGAAATGACATGTCCCCCCGCTTGCAGCCAACTTTTGCGTCTTTGGGTGATGTTGTGTTTCGATCCATCATCGAGAGCCTGATATTCTTTGGCCTGGACTACAGTACACATTAAAAGCGTCCCCGTGAGTGTAGACGTTTTCAAATTATTGCCGTCCGAGCTACTGTAGACTACATTAGATGGGCCTCTCCCGAAGCATGTTCAAAAGACTATCGTAGCTCAGCGCCTTGTCCGGCAAATATGGTGTGGTTTCGCAACGACTGCAACGATCACCAACATGTACGTCTAGACCAATAGTACGTCTAGACCAACAAGCACGTCGAGCTTTCGGCCGAGCAGTTGCATCGTAAAGCATGGTAAAGCCCAACGTTGGACAACAACTGCGATTCTTATGGTAGAAGGACGCTCGCCTGGCGTTGGACTTCGGTCCCGGGAAGATCGAGAGCTCGAAGAGCTTCGGCTGCTCCCATCCGAGAAGTAGCTGGTGGTGAGAATGACGCTACCTCCCTCCCGCTGTGTCATGTGTGTTGGCCGGTTGGTCCTGCCTATTACTTCGAGGAACAGATCACCGCCCGTCACGTCCGTCTTCGTGGATGCCACCGGGGCCTCCGGTCACCCGTGAAGGGGTTTATTCTCGCCGTCGCTGATGTCTTCAGCGCTGGCTTTGGGCCAAGATGAAACTGGAAGACGGCCACGCACCGCTTTTGTCTCCACAGATGTTTGTACTAATGCTCCAATCCCCGTCGTCACTCACTGAGTTGGTGTCTCTTTCCACGACCTGATTCCCAGAATTGGACACGTTCATTGGACTACTTCTGGAGTTGGTCTCCTCCTCAACAACATCCCCTGCAAGTAATAAGGCTCCTGGCAGATTCGCCGGGTGCGTAGTCTCTGCCGTCGTGTCCGAACAGTCTGTGCATGCTCCGCCTACAATCTTGACGGAGACGGAGCATGCCCGCGTGGGCCTAACGCTTCGGGAGAAAGCAGCACAATCGCTTTCTTTGAGACGAACGGTCTCGTGGTCGAGATGGTTGTCAGCAACACTTTTGTTGACACGAACGGTCTCGAGGTCGAGGTGACTGTCAGCGGTAGTTTCGTTGAGGCAAGCGGTCTCGAGATCGAGAGGGTCGTCAGCGGCACTACCGCTCGCGGCTTGCACGGTGCCCAAAGCGGTACTGATTTTGCCACCACCGCCGGCCCCGTCCTTAAGCTCTGCGAGTGTACCCAGCGTACAGGCATGTAGTTCTTCTTGCCTTTCATACTTGCGGTTGTCAGTGCCGCATGTGGCCTCGCGTGGGGTTGGCGTGGCATCTCCGTCGCCGACAGTTCGGTCAGGGAAGAAACATCTTTCTGCGTCCTGTCCGTCACCTCCTTCAGAGGCGTCGACCCTGGCTCCAGATTCCACTGTTGTTGTAGTCTTCGAAGGATCACCGTTGCCACTCGAGTTAGCTCCCTCGGCTATTAACTCAGAGCAGCTGCTTTTTGAGCTACCAGCGGTCTGGCCTTTTCCTTCACCACTAGCAGGGCGGCCAGAAACGTAACTGCCATCCGCCGGTCGAGGGCGGTCGAGAACAGCGAGCTCTGGTTCGTCGAGACTTGCGGCGCTAGAACCCCCGCCGGAAAACACAACGCCTGGTCCCTGCATCCTGTGGATGCCATCATCACAGGCACCGCTGGTGCCGGTCGAGTTTTCGCTGGTAAGAGTGAAGCGACCACGTGGCTTCTCCGTCCCACCGCCTTCGAAGCTTGCGACGCTACTGCCAGCAGCGATACTCCCGCTTTCAACCACAGGTGGCGTCGGCGCAGGGGAGGGCGTTCGGAGAAGAAATCGCTCTTCCAAACCCCGTCGTTCCGCAGTGACCACCAAAATTTCTGCCCTGGTACGCCGGACGTCTAGCTTTAGATCTGCGTTCTCTGCCACCAGATCCCGCACCTGATCCCGAGAGAAGCGTGAGCAGAGGCACGAAACCCGCGGTGTGCATGAGCGAACGAATACATACGCAGGAAAAGCCTGTGGTTGCGATTGCAAAGGAGTATCCACGATCTATCGATCGTCGGACCCCATAGTACATAACTAAGGTGGATCATCTGTGTGGTGGAGGCGACGGGAAAAGGGTCGCATGCAATACGGCGGCTAGGGAGCGAGTGCAACGACTAGATAGCCTCGACCCGTAGCTCGCCGAAGTTGTCCCGGCGTCGTGTATAGACCTGATGATCTGCGATACTTTTGCGTGCCGGGGGAACGAGCCGTGTATTCGAGCCCTAGAAATGACGTGGCAAGGCACAATCCCGGCCGACTACTTGCTGCCTCTTCCGCTCGAGCTCTACGATTACGATATGCCTAGCGAAACTCACTCGGCGGCTGAACCTTTTCAACTGCGCCCTCATCCCGGCGCTTTCGTCTTCCAAAGCTGAAACGCGCTCGTATACTTGTCTGCTCTCCAGGAGCCGGTACCCTCGCACGGGGCAGTTGCAAAGAGGGCAACTGCCACCGAGCATACACGTTTCGAGAGGTAGGGATAGGCGGGAAGAGAGGCGACCGACGCAAGGTTTAGGGACATGCAGGTTCCAGAAAGCGAAAAGCCCTCTCCCAACGTAACGAACCGACTTCAATCTCAACGTAAGATTGTGCACTCCCGAGGGAATGGTCTCTGTAGAGAGGGGCCGCAGCTTCGGTGCTAGGCGATAGTAGTAGCACTCAACGTCATGGGCTTGATTGAAAAATGTTTTCCCACAGATACAGTCCATGTCGTACTTGCCTATTCATCGCGGTCATGGAGTGTCACTCACCCACATAGGAAAAAACGATTTGGCGCTTAAGCTGTAGAGTCGTCCTCGGTAAATTACTCACCGTATTGATAAGAGATGCCTCCGTATGTAGTCAACACCCAAAACTACGAAGTCGAAACCCGTGCTGCAGTCTATGTGCGCTCACACCTCAAATCTACGCATATTTCTGAATCAGCAGCAAAAAAACATAGCTACCGTATAGAGAGGTTACCTCTGGAGCGAGTTGGCACATGAAGCACACGCCGCAAGGTGTCGGCAAGGGTCAAGTACGGCCTCCTTAACCTCCACTTGACAGACCGGGCATTCCGGCTTAACGGCTGCAGAAAATGTGGCGCGACTCTCATCAGAGGAGTACGCCATCACCTCCAAGCGTTCCCTTTCGGCCCTTTCAAGCTGGTCCTCGAGATGGGACACCTATGGTAGGTTGGAGGAGAGGATAAGCACCGCAGAACAAGGGGTGCGTAAATCGAAAAGACTCGCGGAACTTAGCATTCTTCAGGTTGCACGCCAATCGTGAGGCGTTGCCGCTATGTACGAGCCGGTGCAAAGGGAGTGAAAAACGGCTCCAGTGAGGTGACATAATGGATCGAAAATGCGAGTTTAGCGCTATTCATATCTGTTTTAGCGACGTGTGCTGGTACTGCTGTTGAACCGACTGGCAAATTCGGCACGGACTGCTGGCAACCCTGTGCTCTCATTTCCGGCTTTTCCCCACCGTCTACCAAGCAAGCGGGATGAAGTTCAATGTTTCCTTGAGGTCGTACTCGGGACGAGGTAAACGAGACGTTGCCACGCGCCTCTGCGCTGGTACCTTTGATCGCAGAGAATCCACCACACACTCCAGGGAGGACGATGCTGGAGGTGATTGTGCGGGGTCGACGCAACGAAGGCAGCAAGGGCGCAAAACAGATGGAACACAACACCGGTGGGATTCGATTGTTAGCTCTTTGAAGTCATACCGTGGTTTATCTGTTGTGGAACCCAAGGTCAACATTGGATTCTAGGCGATATCTAAAACATGTTTGACGGTCGTTCGTCGCTTTCTGCGACAAACATGTGAGCCGTGCAGCATTTTCCTTGAGGCATAACCTTGGCGAACAAACTGACTTAGAATTGAGCACTTGAAACCAATGTCCCAAATAGAGAGCACGACGTTGGTTAATATGGTGCATGGAGCCTGGGGCGCAAGTGGCGCGGGCACATTCTGGCCCAAACTGCACACAACTGGTACCAGGTTCGATGTCTAACCTTAATCGAACGCCACTCACCGCCCTTAATCCGTCGGCGGTGACCGACAACAACCTCGCTTAGTTCATGCGCGCACGCAGGGTCAACAGAATCGGGGGAGCCAGCTCCAATTACGTGGTCCGGGAAAGATCCGTTGCAATCCTTCGCAGAAGAGTCTGCTCCATACTCGAGCAGGACTTTGGCGACCTGGTCAAGCAGGACAGAAGGCGCTGTTCTTATGGGGGTAGGATGTTTGCCACAACGCACCAGTTGAAAGCATGGGATATCGGCGACGAGAAGGCAATGATCCCGGGCTCTTGTTGAATGCCCTACGAGGTACCGTATTGAGCGAACAATCAATACACTCGAAAACCCATCACGACGCAACCCCTCAATCTTGCTGTGTAGAATTTGGGTACTTGACGATGCTTTGGAATTCTAACGTACTGTATAAATTTACGGTAGTCACTCTGACCTCGAGTTGTCCCCAACAGCAGGCGAGGTGCAAAGCTGTAATGTTATCGCGCAGGTCCGACACCTGAGCGGACCGAACACAGAGGCGCGAAAGGGCAGCGATAACTGTATCAGAACACCCTTTCTTGCAAAAACTAATACCACCATTATTTACGTTTATTTGCTATCGCGCCGTAGGCAATCGACTTCGATACGTACGGCCGACTACTCTGTGCGGGTAGAAGGGGTCGATCAAGTCGAGCAGGCCTGGGAGAGCAGTTTACCCTTCACTGCTGCACCTGCAGATGAAATGCACGTGCGAGAAATGTAAGGCTATCGTGCATGAACAAAGGCGTTGCTTTGGCCTTGCCATAGCCTAAACGCCTACACGCTGACTCAATTTACCCTTGCGTTGGCTCCGGCTTGTAGAAGCATACGCGCCACTTCGGCGTGCCCGTTCCAAGAAGCGAAGAAAACGGGCGTCCATCCCGATTGATCCATTGCATCTTTGTCGGCCCCGCACTGCAGCAGAAGGCGAACAACATCAGTATGTCCTTGCTGGGCAGAAAGGTGGAGGGGGGTGGCCCCTGTTTCATCTCGGTCATCCACGGGGGCCCAGGCCTCGAGTACAAGACGCGCCACTTTCAGGTGTCCTTGGTGACATGCAAGATGAAGCGGGGTTAACTGCCGCAGAGTCGTCGCTCCCGGGTTGGCTCCGTTGGACAAAAGAAGAGACGCTATCGCCGAATATCCCTGTGACGGCCATCGAGATGCATTCAGTTGGTAGCATGATGATCATCGAGCCTGGCTTCCAACGCATTTAATTTAAAGGAAATGTAGAACCGTCGTTAGAGAGGACGCGGTGTGCCTGTGTCGTTCCCATTTGTTCTGGACTGTAGTGACACCAGTAGTCTAGACAGATACGACAACATTTAATATCTTGCTGTCGGTTGTGTTGGGCCTTTTTTGTACATCTGGTCAACACCACCAATTTTCCTAGCTGTACTCTTTGAGGCTCCCAGCGATTACCTGGCGACAAGCGATATGCAGGAGCGTCCTTCCAGTGTTTGGATTTGCCAGGTTAGCCTCAACCCCACTCTCCAAGTATTCTCGTACGGCGTCAACATCGCCATCTTTCACGGCGTGGCGCACAGCGTCGCTGTTCAGCTTCAGTGCCATGTGGCGAGCAAGCCCCCGTGCTGCTGGTGCTGCTGCAGGCCTCGCGCGTGTTGGGTTCTATCACGCGGTCCATCTGAGATACCCGAACCTACACATGTTAACTGCTGTGCCGTAGTTCACCGACGTTGGATAGTAAATAGTGATGGTGCTCTCTCGGTTCATAACGATCCTCGCCTGGTCGTGTAGTCGAATTTCGAATTTTCAGGAGAAATAATTTCTTCCGGCCGTTACACACCAAAACACGCCTCACGCGTACCCGCCCTCCCTCTCTATCACGACGACGCCAAAATTAGAGCGAGAGACAGAGAGAGGCGGTCAAGGCAACATCACAACACAACACTCAGGCGTGGCGAGCGATCAAAGGAACTAAACACCGCGAGCTTTCTCTAACCAGGCGTGACAAGCACCTAGCCGGCGGTAAATATGGCGGACGCTCTCCCCGATGATCCCGTAGCGCGCGCGAAGGCCATCGCCCTTAAGCTCACGGCCACCACGTCGACTCCTGCTGCTGCTGGCGGAGGGGATGTGCCACCAGCAGCTGCTCCGGAGGCCGCACCCGCTCCCGCTTCTGAATCAGGTTAGCTTGGATCCGAGCCGACTCGCGCCGAGCGATCAGCATCCTCATGAAGCTGTAGGCCTGGCTTTTCGGTTTGTTTACGTGCTTGACTGGCGTTGTGGCGTGTTGGGGTGGGGACACCTGCGGGGCTCCCCCTCCATTTATCTCGATTTTTTTTGTCCTGTTTGGGCGCCAAAGAGAGAAATCAACACACGTCCGTGTGTGAGCCTGATGATGCGTGTGTGTGAATGTACCGCGGCCCCGCCCCTAGATATCGATGGGACGTCCTCACGAAGGTTCATGGAAAGGATCATTCGTTCACGCCTGTCGCTGCCCGTTGTCTCTCTCCCCACCAACGTGCCTGCTCTGGCTGCTGCTGCTGTGTGTAATTGATTGTGTTTTGTTTTTCTAGAACTCGGCAAGCGGAAGAACCGATGGGGCGAGGATCCACAACAGCCTGCGCCCTCCATGCCGGCCGGATTCGGACTCCCCGCCGCTCTCATGGCCCAGGCCACCGCCGGCGTGCCGACCGCGCGCAAGAAGATCATGGTGCCCGTTAAGGAGCACCCGGAGTTCAACTTCATGGGCGTCCTGATCGGCCCTCGCGGGAGCTCGCTTAAGGCGATGGAGCAGCGCACGGGGGCCAAGATCCTGATCCGCGGCCGCGGCAGCACGAAGGAACCCTCTTCCGACCCCGAGGCGAACGAGGACATGCACGTCGTCATCGAGGGCACGGACGCCGCCGTCGCCGTCGCCACCCAGGAGATTGAGACCATCTTCAAGGATCCCCAGCGCGCCCTGATCGTCAAGAGCGAGCAGCTCAAGAATCTCGCCGACCTGAACGGGAGCGGCGCCTATGGCGGCGCCTCCGGCGGCGCGGCGGGCGCCTACGGGCCCGCGGGCGGCGAGGAGTACGAGGTGGAGATGGGCGTGCCGAGCAAGATGGTCGGGCTGATCATCGGCCGCGGCGGGTCCAACATCCAGTCCATGCAGCGCGACTACCAGATCACGATCCAGATCGCGAGCCAGAACGACGTCCCGGCCGACTCGGAAACCCGTCCCGTCAAGCTCAAGGGCGGCCGCCAGTCCGTGGAGCAGTGCCGCAGCCAGATCAACCAGATCATCACCGACAGAGAGAACGAGCTCCAAGGGGGTTTCATCCCGGGAGGCGTCGCCGGCGGCGGCGGCGGAGCTCACTACGGCCCCGGGCGCGACTCGTCCTCCCAGGCGACCAACCACCTGACCATCCCCGATGACAAGGTGGGCCTCGTGATCGGCAAGGGTGGCGGCACCATCAAGGGCGTGCAGGGGCGCACCGGAGCCAACATCCAGATCCCCGGCGAGGCCGACGCCAACGACCGCACGATGCGGACGATCGTCATCTCTGCGGGCACGAAGGACGCGGCCGACCGCGCGATGGCGGAGGTCCAGAACATCCTCAGCGCCGACGCCGCGTCCGTCGGGGGAGGGTCCGGCGTCCCGCCCGGGTCGCAGGTCCTGCACGTCATCATCCCGGATGACAAGGTGAGAGCAGCAGCAGCAGCAGCAGCAACAGAGCGATACCGAGTGCTGTAGTAGGGTTAGGGTTCGAATCTGTCTCGAGAATCAAAAAAGCTTGTTAAGATATTGATTGATGCGGTAAGTACCTCAGCTCAACCTGAGGCAGTGTACGCAGATAACCCCCGTTCCAATTTTAGTTTTCTTGTGTTGGTTCGCCGGTGCAACTGCGGTACTGCTGTAAACCCTGAGGAGTCCGCATAAACGTAAAACCCGGAGTATTTCGGTGTTGTTGTGATTCGCACCAGCTGGCATCACTGATACTCGAGTGTACGGGCTTAAACAAACTCACTCAAAATAAGCACAGCAGTATCCCGCAGGCTTTCTTCCCCACTCACTCCAAAGTAAAATATTTTTAACACTTCGACTGCTGTGGTGCTACAGCGAACGAGTCTTTCGGTGAAATGTGTGTACGTTTCCTAAAACCCGGAGTTCGGTGTGAAGGAGATGCATGTATATGGCGTGAGGACTGGCGTTAGAAACACCCGGGTTGGTGCGGTTGTTGGCACGTCTAGCACGGAGCCCAGGACAAGGGCGGGGTGGGTGGGTGTAAGTTTCTGAAACATGGTGCCGTATGCATAGCAATGACCACGTTGTGAAGGTGTTTTTCGTGACCTTTTGGGGGTCGTGAGAACACGTCAAGCTTGGCACCGGCAATGACAGCAGTAAGGTGGCGTGGGTGGCTAGGTGAGATGGAGCTCTATGTAAGCAGCGGCTTTTTGCTTGTGTGCTCCAAGTACAGAGTCCGTTGTATCTGTTCTACCACCCTCACACACGCCCTACCCCAAACCGCGGCCCGCTTTTTTTACACTCTGGGTTATTTCTCCTAAACCCAATGATCAGGTGGGTCTGGTCATCGGCAAGGGCGGCTCGACCATCAAGGAGCTCCAAAACCGCACGGGCTGCCGCATCCAGATCCCCTCCCAGACGGACCCGGGAACCTACCCTCCCACCCGCCGCGTCACCCTGACTGGGGTCGGAGAGTCTCCGCACAACGCCAAGCGCGACATCGAGATGATGGTGCGAGACGACGAGAACCGCGGCGGCTATGGACGAGGCGGCGGTGGCGGCCCTCCCCCCCACCAGCAGGGATACGCCCCCCCCGGCGGCGGCCGCTACGGCGGGCCCCCGGCACCCTACGGCGCCCCGCCTCCGCAGGGGTACTACGGCGCCCCGCCCCCGCAGCACCAGCAGCCGTACCAGCCGGCTCCTTACGGGCACCCGCCGCCGCAGCAGTACCAGCCCGCCCCGCAGTACCAGCCGTACGGGCAGCCGCCACCGCAGCAGCAGGTATGCACGATCTTGGGGGTGAATCTGGTCATGTTGCCGACGCGTGTGATGAAAGTATTTAGGCGTTTTGGGTGATACGTAAGTTCATGTCAGAGGTTGTTGCATTTGCTGAGGCTGGTGCTTGGCGGCACGGGTAGTAGTAGTCATACCCTGGTCCACCATTCGAGCTGATGTATGTGTGTGTGTCCAAATTAGAGCACTGGCGAGCTGGTAAGCACGCCTTCGGTTGTACATGCGAACAGGGATATCAGATGAAAGGATAGAACATGTAGATAGTTCCTCTTGGCCTCGTCATGACTTGTTGCAAGCAAGCCTTGGCCTTAATTTTGCCGGATCCTTGGTCGGAGCAAACGATGTCGACATGGCACGCAGTCCCTAATGTTTGGATAAATATTTTCAGGCAAGACCTAACCTACCAGTATTTGTTTTCCCTCCCGCTGCCGCCACCGCCCGTCTGCTGGACCTGTATGAGCAGCCCGGGTACCCCCAGCCGGTCCCGTACCAGCCGGCGCCTCAGGCCGCACCGGCACCCGCGGCCCCCGAGCAGGCTCCCGCGCCGGGTCAGATGCAGCAGCCGCCTGCCCAGCAACAGCAGCCCCCCCAGCAGCAGCAGCAGCAGCAGCAGCCCCCCCAGCAGCAGCAACAGCAGCAGCAGCAGTACTACCAGCAGCCGCAAACCCCGGCCCCCGCTCAAGCTCCCGCCCCGCAGGCGGCGGCGGCGCCAGCTCCCGCACCCGGTGCCGTGGATATGTCCCAGTACCACGACGTGAGTGTGCGGGACGGTTGTGTATCGTACCCCAAATGCTGTAATTGAGTTGCATCTCAGTCGATTTGAGTGTTGGTCTTTCTTCATCGCTGCTCTTTCGATAAACGCCGTGCCGCTGTGTGACGACCTGTAGTTTGAATATTTTGAAGTTTTTCCGTGAGCAGAAGGAAATATATCTATTTGATAGTTTTATGCGGTCACTCTCCCTTTTGAGGTTGTGTTTTACTTGCCACTCCGACGCAACAACAATATCCCACAGCGTGTGGCGGACGTTGCTAGGGCTGCTTGTTAATTATGTGCCAGGGAGCGCTGCTGTGATGCACCGCCCTCAGGCTTGCAGTCTTGGTTGTCTGGTCTGCACGCAAAACTTACTGGGCGACGTGTAATCAAATGTTTCTTGCGTTTGTCGCCGGTACTTCCAAAAAGATCACTCATTTTTCAACAGGTTTACCTATGTGTAATTTCCACGCAGAAATCCCGTGCCTAACCTTTAACCCTACTTCCTCCGCTCCCTTTCGTCTTAACAATAATCACGCTTGCCAGCAATTCTGGCAGTACGCGGCGTACTACGGAGAACAGGTGGCGCGCGACCAATACGGTGCTTGGGCGCCTCCGGCCGGAACCCCACCCCCGCCGGGCATCACCATCCCTCCCCCGGGCCAGGCAAACCCGCCGCCTCAAGCCTAGAATGGCCAACACAAGAGGTATGTCGTGAGTGGGAGACGTGTGAGGCAATCACGCACTCTTGACTTTGCAGTCAGCGCGGGTGGTGTCGTCATAGAGTCACATCAATTCCGGCCGCTGTACGCTGTACTCCCCCCCCCCCCCTCCGGGTCCCCCCGTAATGTCTTCCTTTTGTCGTCGAAATTTCCCCGCGTGTGTACCATGTGTAACCCCCTCTCGCTTGCCTCCTCTTTTCGTCTCTTTTCGTCTCGTCTCGCTTGTGTCGCCCCTCCTTCAATTGCTTGCGTCGTTTCACCCTGCATGGTTTGGTTCATGGTTCATCATCAGTCACGACACACAAGACACCTTCGTGAATCCGCCCGCGATGATGTATGCTGCCGCATGATGATCCGCATGATCCACAATGCCTGTATCGCCTGAGATGACGACGCCGGGGTCACGAACGATGCATGACGCATGCTTGAGATATCAATGACGCGACGAGATGTGAAGCACCTCGTTTGGATGTAAGAGTATTTAGTAAAAGCAAGGTGTCTTGGTCTCTCGTGTGTGTGGCGTGAAAGACCGCGTGCGCAGCGACTATGGCGTGACCGTGATGCGCTGCATCGAGGGTCGAGGAAACGACCATGTTTTTGAGCGGGGGAGTAGGGGGATGTGCTCGCAGTGTTCCTTGTTTTTTTGTTCCTTCGCAGGCCGCCGACGTTGAGCACCCGGTTCACTGTACCAAACGCTAGACTGCTGCTGCTGCTGCTGCTGCTGCTGCTGATAGCAGCAGTACCGAAGATCGCCATCGTCATGGACTGCCTGCTGTTCCTGTTTTTTTTTTTAGTTTGGTTGATAGCGATGATGATGTTGTCCTTGTAGCCGCGGCCGTTGTTTCTTCGGGATGCCTTGACTTGTTTTTTTATGATGCAAACTCTTTCCGTCTTACTTATTACACATGCTGTCGTTTGTTAGAGCCATGTCTTCTGCTCCTCTTTACCATCGCCCAAGCGAACTGATGCATCTGTTTTACAAGCCGTTTCCAGACAACGTTTTGTGCTGTCGTTTCATCCTACTGCGCACAGGGCCCGACCTTTGGAAAAACGATAGTTCGAATCATCTTTCGACCGGTTGCTGTTATTTATAAATCAGTAGAAGTTTAACTTCTGTCCCCAATGGTCCTGTGACATGAAACTACCAAACACGATGATGACACGCGCGAATTGCTTTTACAAAGCCCCGGTGTCAACGCAGTTAACTTTCTAGCCCGGCAGGCCTGCTTCACAAGTCCGACGGAAGATGGCGCCGGCTCTCTTGGCGCCCCAATTTCGGACCTATGCGGTGTTTCTTGGGGTCGCCTGTCTTTCTCACCGCAACTTCCATCAATACCGTACTTAGACGTCGAACTTTCGCGCTTGAATGCCCCCGTAACTCTAGTGTTTTAGTGCGGAGACTTACGACGTGACTGTGGCTGTATTTCGTTGTTGGAATCCCTATCCATTCATTTTTGTGTGCCGCCCCTCTGTCCTCGCGACTCGACCTTCTACAGTTTTTTTGCGCGTTGCCTTGGGGTTTTATTTTTGGTCAGTTCTTGTTGGCCATTTTCGCAGATTGACTACGACTTCAAGCTCGAGCCTATGTGTCACCCTTGAAACTTGGGCTGTAGCTTCCTCCTCCCCACCCGCTTCTCGTCATCGTGGCACCTGGCCTTGCTTGAGGCCACAATCTCCGCCCCAACTTCGATTCACATTGACTGCATAATAGACATCTACGTCTTCCACTTGCCCACATCCCTCCACCAAAAAAACGAAACCGCCTCGAATTCGACTGAGAGAGGCAACCAAACGATCTGTGACAATTAACGGCGCGGTGACGGCATCAAGGTAGAGGCGTTGTACACACGACGAGTGAAAGAAGAAAGCAAACAGTGTTCGGTAAAAAAACAAAACAATGTTGACATGGATGTGAATCCACCGGTGAACACAGGCATTTGCATAGACAGAAGGTAGCGGCGCCTTCTTCCCTGGCTGGGCTTCAAAGACGCGATGCTGGTGGTGGAGGGTGTTGTTGGGTGGACTGTACTTTCGATTCAATGCAAACCCGTCGGAAAATTGCGAACCTGCTGCCTTTGCCGCTTTCTCCATGACGAAACCGTCGTCGTCAAGCACCATCATCTCTATTGATCATGCATGATGACCACGAAACGACCCCAAAACTAAAAGAAAAGTGAGGCAAGCTGCGTTGCCATTGTTACATGCAAAGCCCAGCACTAGGCCAGAGATCTCCATCCCTTGCCTGTGTGAAGGCCGCTCATTTGTTTGGTCTATGTTGAACCTTCCTCATCCATCCCTTCCTTCCTTGATTGACTTTCTTGCTCCAAAATTGCCATGCGTTGATGACCGAAGTGCTTATTGATCGAATAATAGTAATACATCAAGTTCATGGGAGCGAGCGTGGTTCTTGACTGATCAACTTACACCTCGTGGGCGTTGCCCTACTTTCGTGGTGGATGCGGGCAGGCAGGGGGTTCCGTTCACTTGACATATGCGTAAGAGTGGGCGTTTTGTTCGGGACTCCGACAACGTCTGAGAAGGGAAGTTTACACTTCCTATTCCTAGTGTTGTATGAGCCGTGTTTTGATGGTAAGATTTTTATTATACATGTGCGCGCCTACAGTACTACCCGATGTGTCCTACCGTTGGTAGTACGCGAAAGACGAAACAGACGTATTCCACGCATAAATTCCATCGTTTTTGTCTCCCCAATTTCCCCTGTCTGTGTGGTTACGCCCACACGCACGAAGCTTGCTCCCACTTGCCCGATGATTCGTGTGAGAAACGCCTACATACTGGAATGCCCCACAAAACCTAAGCTGATTGGTGGTCGGAAGCGGTTTTGCTCGTAGAACTTTGTTGCGGGAACTTTCGCTCATCTCCGCGTGCTAGCCTTGGCAACACAACATATAGAAAAAATAGGTTTGAGTGCGTAGATTCGTCCCAGCCATACGTGGCCCAGCAACGCGGAAAACGAGTCCAAAGTTCATCGATGCATGAATTTGACTTCGCCCTATGTTAAAGAGGGAAGAAATGAGGGCTGAATCGTTGTCGCGCGAAACAACCATCTGTGCCGAACCCATGCGGACATACAAAACCTCTTGTGTTGACCCCCGGGTGATGATGCGTTCACACAAAGGTACACTGACGTCCGGAAAAACGGGACGTTGTATCCTCACAGATCGATCGCCTATAAACTCACCATCATTTCTCGGTCTGAGTCTGTCTGTCGTTAAATAAGGTATCAATACCCTCTCATCTGCAGGAGGAGGGTGTTTGCAGCACTTCGGTGTCGACGCGCCGAACTAAATCTTGAGTAATGTAGCATGCACCGAGGCAAAATACTGGCACCACTACAATACATGACCCAAGTCTGCGTGTTCTCCTTGGGACCACGGTTGGATGACGTAAGTAACGTCATTGATGGCTGGTTTACAAATGCATTTAACTGGTTGTACGATTTCCAGAGCCCAGTCCGATACGACTGGTGTTGACGTGAGCGCGCGGACTAAAGAACGTTGTTCGAACACCTGAGCACAAAAAACTTCTCCAAACACTCCAAACACTGCCTTAAATCCTTCGAAACATTGAATACAAGCCAGTCAGCAAATTCTCACACAACCAACAAAGCGGGCGACGTTCGACAAAGCTCTCTGAGCTAGCTTTGTCAAAGCAGGAATGAGAAGAAAGAGCAACGCTTCTACATGCCGCTACCATACGATTTGCGCCAACTCCCCCCCCCCCCCCGTCACAACCAACACGACAGCCATGTGTTTAATTAAGATGGTGTTCTTATTCAGGACCAGACGGGCCTTCCGTCTTTCTGACTGCTACACCAATCACCCCCCGGCTCATGCCCTTGGCGGAAAGTTGAGGTTTTGCACCTCGTGAAGAAGTTTGATGCGTGGCCCCTTGGGAAACCCTAGGTCCTTCAAGTCGTCCTGACACGAAAATTACAACGCAACGGGGGCAGACGAATACGAAAGCGGGAGAAAACCGTCAGTATCCGCAACACAACAAGATTTACCGAACAAGGGCCGCGGAGGGGTGCGTTCGAAAAGTAGCCCAGACGTTTCAACAATGACCCCAACTTTATAACGTTGCAGGGCAACCGCGGGCTAGTGCAGGGGTGTTCTCATGCACGGAGAAACACTTGCGCGGAAAACAACACTGCTGCCAATCAATAAACGAAGATGCGACGAATGGAACATGTGGATTGGGTACATTCAATACTGCGACCGGGGATAAGACCAACAGGATGCTCCAAGAACGCGTCTCCACACACACGATACCAGGATCTGGACAACAACGGACAATTGAAGGGCGTTTGATCTGGCGCACTCGAGTCAACCATCACCTTCCGATCGCCAAAGCGGGTCTTTTTCTTGCACTAAAGCTACCGGCTGTTTTGTATAAAAGGCTACAAAACGGAACGAACCACAAGACACGCACCTCGCCGAAAAGCCGCAGCGCGTCCAGATCGACCTCCGCTTCCGCCAGAACCGCAACGTACTTGCTCAAATTCAGTCGCGCCAGCACATCCACCACACCGTTGCCGTTCGACGAGTCGGTGTTCTCCCTGCCCTGGCCCGATTCCGGCGAGCCACTCGAAGCGTAGTCCGTCGACCCGTTACATGACGACGACCCTGCCACGGACAAGGACCCAGCCGACACCGTTGCTGTCGTCGTCGAAGAGGGGAGCGTGCCGGGAGTATCATTCCCCGCGTCACTGCTCAGAGGAGACTCAACTCCCGAGTCGGGGACAGACAAGAAGCTCGAGCCCACCCCCGATGTTGATCCAAGACCCGAGCCCGAGCCCGAACCCGGGGACTGAGGAACCGCGTTTCCGAGGTTGCTGCTGCTGTTGTTGCAGCTGCCAAAGTTCTCCCCCGCTAGCAACCCGGACCCGAAAAGTGACTCAGATCCGCCACCATGAGCGGTGCCGGAAAGAGGTGCGCCCCCCGTCCAGTCGGCACCCCCGCCGCTCGCCAAAAAATCGCCACCGAGCAAGCCCGGCCCAACCAAGGTCTGCGGCTGACCCCCGTGGTGGTTGGCCGACAGATGACCGCCGCCAAACAGTGACTCGTGCGGAGACACGTGCCGCAGGGGCTGTTGCTGCTGCTGTTGCTGCTGGTGGTGCGTTCCGCTGCCGTTCATGTACAGAAGGCCGTTCGACGGCTCGTACTGACCCTGCGAAGACCCTCCGCTCGCGCCGTCGTGTCTCAAGCTGGCGAGGAAACGTCTGTCCCCGCCGAGAGGGGGCGAGGCCGATGGCGTCGCGGATATCGAGGTCAACGGTGCGGCCGGGTGCACTACCGGGGGCGACGGCGACGACGACGGCGGCGGCTGCGTCAGCTGCTGCTGTTGGGTCTGCGCAGGAGCATTCGCGAATCCACCCAGCTCTCGCGGCGGCGCGGAAACAACGACCGCGGGTGCCGCAGAGGGCGCGGCGGGAGGGGTTGCTGGCGACTGCGGCTGTGGCTGCGGCTGCGACTGCGACTGCGGCTGTGGCTGCGGCTGTGTTGGCGCCGCCGCCGCCGCCGGCGCTGGGGCTGGCGCTGGCGACGGCACGTTCGATTGTGGCAGCGGATTCGGGTCGCTACGTTCGACATCGACTTGCCCGGCACCACGACCACGTCCTCGCGCCCGGTTGCTCCCGGGCGGCGCGGTGGGTGCATTGACGCCCGAGCCGTCTTCGTTGCCCCCTCCTTCCCAGGGGGCCTTGGAGATCGGGGTGGTGCCCTCGATGTAGCCTCGCAAAATTCCCATCAAATAGGCGGACTTGTTGTGGATGTCTCGCCGGTGCTTGGAGGCCTCCTTGTAGTTCTTGAGCGCCGCCAAAGCCTGCTCCTCTCCCAGCCTCGACAGCTGCTTGATGAGCCCAACGTCTTCGAGGACGGTTTTGTCCTTGCCCGATTCGAACAGCTTCTCCAGCTCTTTCCGCACCGGAGCCTGGAGGTACGTGATCGGTCGGACCCCCGAAGAGTTTCCGCCGCCCCCGGGGCCCCCGTTTCCGGCCGCCCCCGTCCCTTGAGAGGAAGAAGTCGCGGTCGCGGACGGACCTCCCGCCGCGCCGTTCATCGCACCGTTCCTAGCGCCGTTCGCGTTCGGGTTATGGCCATTCGTCGCCGAGGACGACGATTGGCCTGCCGACCCGTTCGTCAAGTGCTGGCCGTAGCCATTCGAGCTCGACTCGAGAGCGTTGCGAGCCTGGTGCATCGCGTTGCCGGGGACACCGACTATGGCCACTCCGTCTTGGTACTGCTTGAGGAAGCCTATCAAATACCCGCAGCGGTTCTCGATGGCATCTCGCCCCCGGCGCTGTACTGTCGCGCGGTACTTCTTCAGCGCCGCCAGCGCCTGCACATAGGGGGCGCGGCGGAATTTCCGACACAGGTCGTGAGCGCCAAAAACAGCGTTTCCAAGAAGAAATGGTGTAGTTCCTCCGCATCATCACGTTTTCGAATGCAACAAGGACATTGGGTCATCACTAGGCGCCGCGTTTGCGAACACAACGCGCGTCAACGCATGTCATAGAAAGGGGGGGAGGGAAGAAGTGACTGACTTCGGGCTACAAGCGGTGGAGCACGGGACAAGCAAGTCCTTCCGGGCGCGGGAAACGGTAGAGAAAACAAAAACAAAATTCACCCATACGCGAAACCGTGCAAGTGTAACGCAGCAGCAATCTCGCAGCATACGAGAGTACTGGCGTCCGTCCGCAGTCACCCTGCTTTACATTAGCCTTCACGGGCTCGCTGCTCGCCGCCTGGGATACCCAACCCTAACCCGCAATAAGCAACAGGTGCCTCGTCTTCAACGCTGCCTACAATCTACTGAAGACTCGGGGAAACCCACACACGTTGACGGAAAACACTCTCCAGCACTACAATACATATCTAGCTCATGCCGCTTTCACCTGCTCTTCGGGCACCTTCGCCAGGAGCTCCATCAACGCGCGGTCCTCGTATACGCAGCGGTCGAGCACCGGATCGAAGACCCCCTGCACCGCTTGGGACACAGGGGGGCTCAGCCGCTCCAGGAGCCTCTGAGCCGACCCCGCGGTGGCACCCGGGGCCGGGCCAAGTTTGTACGACTGTATCAGCGACATGAGGTACGCGGCCTTGTTCTGGATCCGCCCGCTCCCCTGGCGTTGCACGTTGGCGCAATACGTATCCAGCACTTTGAGGGCCTGCGAGAAGCGGAGAGGGCGGACGGGAGAGAAGAGAGCACGGAGGTGTGGTGTTTTCCGCAAAGTTAATCAATCAATCGGCGGCAGTGGTAGATGTGTTGTCCATGTTCCTTCTGAAATAACGTCGGCGGCGAGTCGTTGACGATTGTTCTTTCCGACTGGAAGTGTCGCTTCCGGAAGGGAGGCATGCAGATCTTCTCAAAACAATGCTTCGACGTGAACGCCGCGCACCCCACGCCGAGATTTTTGAAAATTTGGGTCGGTGTTGGTGTAAGGTCGTTGTCTTTCATTGCCAGCCACAACGACCACCAAAAATAATCTCACATCGATGCTAGCTATCTCAAGCAGCTGCCGATGCGGCCGTATTCGCATGAGAGGAACGACGAAAGGGTTCAAGTGTAACGCCGGATTTGTGTGAGTATCGAACATGATGGATGTCATTGTTGTTGTGTGCGCTTTTCTTTTCGGCAACAACTGATCTGTTATTTTTTGAAATGGGCAACTGCTCGCGACAGCAACTAAAAATAAGGACTCTGGTGGTGCTGCGATTAATATTTCGGATCAAACTGAGAATATAGAATGTCGTAGCTCCGATAGAGTCGACCTCTGTCGACATACGCAAGCGAATCCGCGAACGCGGACGAAACGGCGTTTCTTTGTCCATAAGGCGGATACAGGCATACAGGCTGCGGGAGGAGGGTAGGAGGGTATGGTCAATTCCACCGCATGAAAATCAAATTTACCTCCAAACTGAAAGGCAGGCATTTCCTTCGGGCCTGTGCTGCGTGCAACGCCCGTGGGCTGCACACGTGAATCAATGGCACGATAGTTTGTTTCCATCTTGTCGAAGCAGCTAACCCGCGTGTACTCTCCTTCCCACCAACCGTTTAAATACAGTTCAGGGTCCGGAGCAAGAGCCACGCGTTGCGCGATGGATTCACTCTCGCATCTCGGTCCAAACAACAGCAGCAGCTTGCAATTTGAAATTTGGACTTCGTCAACTCTGGACAATGAATGCTGTTTCGTTTGCCCACAACCAGATCACAGGCCACCGACGCCGTACAACACCAGGTGCTGTCGGCGCTACATCTAGCCGGCCGGACACTAGCTATCCCATTGGCGCGCGCACACCTGTTTCGTTTGCAGCTCCGACAGCCCGGTCAGAAGGGGATCATCCTGAAGAGAGGTGCGATCCAATCCAGCCAGCGCCGCCTTCCGAACGGGTCCTCGTAGCTTATCCACCGGCCGGGTGGCTTGGCGAGGCATGGTGTAGCTGGCAACTGCAAGTCGGTTGGTGTGGAGACAATCAGGTCCAGCAGAGGTATGTAGCACACAGCAGAAGCAGCAGAAGCAGCACTAACAGCAGCAACAGCACAGCAGCCGCAGCGGATGATTTCGGCGCCAACCTCTCTCTCGGAACGACTGCTACCAACCAAAAAGTGGTTGTAAGTTTGGTTCGCAAATCAAAACTATCGGGCGGCCTAGCTGTGCATCGACCAACTACGACTATTCCTGGTACTTCAGTTACCAGCAATGTGCTCACCGACTTTCACCAGCGCGCGGGCTTCCACGGATTCGCCAGCAAAGGCGCGTGCTTTGCCACACAAAATCATTTATGACGAGGCTTTCCCTTAACCGGGGACGTGTGTCGTTGTCCCCCCCCCAAAAAAAAAAATGCCGTGCCGTCCTCGCCTGCCGCACCCGAAGCGGTTTTCATTCAATAAATACCCTTCTTGTTCACATCCACAAAGGACTTCCCCCATTTGCTACCATAATTCACACATTGCCGTATATATGGTTGTCCCTAACAAAGAGAAGACAGAGCCTTTTAGGATTATGTCGTGTTGCGTATTTGATGATCATCCCATGTCGTAACGGCTGCGCTCTCTTGATTATTGTACAAGTAGTGGATCATCGTGGATACGTACATGGATACCCTTTCGGGAAACATACGACCGGTAGGTCGGCTATTTTTGCTGGATGGGGGTAGAATGGGGGCAATGCGATATCATGACTCCAACAACAGCAGTCTCATTTGCAATGCAACGCGTGGATGCAAGTACAGAAACCAAATTGGTGCCTGGCGAACATGGATATCTGCAGCAGTATATTACAGCAAATCGACGATTGGACTGTAGGTAGGTTGAGTCGGAACAATATAATATTGTATCTGTACTGGAGGGGTCTCCGAGGCACATGTAATAGAAGTACGAGTATTCGTTCCAACGGAGAAGTACCTCTGCCTGTACAATGGCGTCACTGTAGTGTCACAACATGATTTGCATCGAACAGCGCGCACGCCCGTAGGTCACACACACGCAGATACATCGAGTTGTTCGTCCATTTTCTCTCTCCTATTTATTGGTGGTGAATCAAGGTGGCGTTCAATAGAAACGGCAGCGTTACTCCGCGCTTGACTTTGAAACAGATTTCCGGTCTTCGCGGAGGAAAAGCAGTGTGTTTGTTAACGGCTAACACGCGGAGTGGAAAGGAGCCCCGCATATAGGGGCACAGCCACCAACAGAGAGCGCCTTCCATACTCCTATTTACGACCGTACATGGAATCAACACAGAAGACAGTCATACCCAGGCCTAAAACACCTCTATCAACCAAACACTTATCAGCATGCAAATCTCACGACTATTTTCGTTTGAACAACGGTAATCAATCGTCAAACACGGGGCAAATCACCGTCGTACTTATCCATTTTACAAAACTTGACCGACCCCCCGAAGAGCCGAGCCACACCCTACTAAAAAACATCACCTATCAATGCGCCCCCCCGCGACAACGACGAGTGGCGGTTAACATGACACGACAACTTGGCCGCGGTCTGATAAAACGCACGTTTGCAACGGCGCGCACCATCTATTGTTAGACATACTTCCAAAGAATCTATGTGTTGTGTGCTGTCTTCAAGGGCAGGGTCGGTCGTAAAAGTGAATGGAGTACTGCTGTAGACTAGACCTTCCTTCCTCCCATACATGCCTTCCTTCTTCTCCAAGACAGCGAAATGCACTTGCATCACAGCGTGCACTCACCACGCACAGAAGAGTTCGCGTTGGGCGGATAACGGCTGTGTGCGTTAACTCTTACCACACACACCGCGTTACAACCACACCCCACCCTTGTAGAGGCTGGATCTGCTGAGGCGATCTATCCAACTACACATCCTGGCTGCATTCTGCCCGTAAAAAAGGAGCCGCGTATTGCTGTGAGCGGACAGGGGGGGGGGGGGGGGCTGCACGCATTTCCTACATAGCGCCTAGTCCTCCTCTTTGTACCAGTCCTGCGATGCCCACCCCCCGCTCTTTTGTCCAAATGATATCGCCTGTCGCTTCATAGGATCTCGGTCTTTCCCGCGCTGTATTGTTTTCCCCCCGGTGCTGACCTTGTACGCCTGCCACGAACAAGTATCGGAGATGAGCATTGGCGAGGAAATTATTTTAGGCATCACAACAGAAATTGGTTGCCCTTCGTACAATTTTTATTGCTTTGGCGCTTGCTTACTGACCTTGCCTAAGTAGTCTGTCTGGTCGTAAAGCAAGAGCAACTGGCGTGAGCGAACTCAAATGCAGCGACAAGTAAAAAAAAAGAAAAACGCGATACAAGTATAGTGCCAAGGCCATAGGTTAGACCACCAACAGAAAACCTTAAATTTTGTACACGCAGAAGCTAACAAGCCGTTTCTTTGTTGGAGAAGGCGGAGCTCTAGGTTGGAAGTTTACGTTTATTTACGTCGGAGAAACGCGCGGCAAGCCATGCGTGCCCCGTGCTGTTGTCATTTCGGTGACCTTGTGACGCCGGAAATATATGAGTAGCCATATTCTGCCTAAGGACAAGAGTTCACCACGATTGTTTGATGGCAAGACGACAATAACATCAGCAACCGCAGCAACCACGACGATGGCGAGTCTAAACCAGTATTACTAAACTGTAGCTCAACTCAGGGGCAAGGCGTGCTGGAAAACAGTAGTATGGTATGCGAGCTGATCTAAAAGGCGTGCAGGACAAAAGGTAAGCGGCTGTGAGTAGGTTGTGTCGCGTGTTGCTCGCTCACGTCATGCGCCGCCTCAAGAATGGCCACATCCTCCGGCAGCAGCGACCAGCCCAAGCACCCCACTATCTCGTCCGCATGTGCCTTTGTCTTCACTCCAGGCAGCGGAACGACACCCTTCGCTCTGGTCCCACAAAAAAAATCAACAGACGGGGTGCGCGAATAACATCGCGTGAGCAAATGTAAGTGCGTGTATGCAAACAAGAACGGGAGGAGCACACTGTTCCATGAGGTGACGCGCGCGCGGGGGCGGCAGGGGTAGGTAGCGATATTCGTGAGTTGGAATATTTCGGCTCGACCAAACGTGAATTGAAGAGTTTGTATGGTGCGAACATCACAAGAACTCACGACATGACAGGATAGCAGCAAGCCTCGCGGGGCACAAGTCTCCCTTGGGCCGAAATCCCCTAGGGATACCACGTGTAGAAATCCAGGAGGAAAGAAACACGGCCGAAGCAAACACTTCCCAGCAGCAGGACAAAATGCATTTCGCCGGGCACTGCCCCCCTCTCTCTCTCTCGAGTGTGCCCCACCCACCTGACGTAGTTAATAGCGACTTGTGTTGTGCTGATCTTCTTGAGCTGCGGGGGCGGTGCCTGCTCCTCTCCGTCCTCTAGCGCCTCGAAGGCTCTCCTCTGCTCCTCCTTCGCCTCCTCCGCCAACCGTCCTTCTACTCGCTTCGCCACCTTGCTCACGAAGAGAGAGAGAGCGAGAAAAAGAAACAAACGAGAAAGAAACAAACGGGAAAGTAACACAGGGTGAGCATAATTTAGGCAAAAAAACATGGTAATTTCTCAAGCAAAAGGGCAGATGGCGGAGACAAGCGGTACTTACTTCCTCCAGTGCTTCCGTCGAGGCTGCAGCAGCAGCATAGCGAAAGCAACATCATTCCCGCCTGTTTCAACCTTCGACTGCGGAGCAATAACTCACCGCGGCCAAAGCCGTGTGGATGGGAGTCACAGGAAACAGGTCCTTAAAAAGATACTTGGGATCCCCCATCTTTCCACCAGTCGGGTTGGACGCCGTATAAACGCCGGTTGCCAACCCCTTCGCCAGCGGGGTGTGCCCGAGAGGCACGACACCTGGCCAAGAGAAAGCAGCAAACGGGGCGGAAGAGGAGATCAACGGCAGAGCTTATGGGGGTTCTCAAGCGCCTGAGCGAGGCGGTTAACATCAGGGAGAGTCAGAATGGGCCAAGAACGCGACGTCAAAAGCACACCGGAATGTGCGACTCGAGTCTTGTTTGCTTGGGTCGTTTCGCTTGCCTGTGCCCCTAACCTACAATTCTGCGTGTGACTGGTGACGAACGAACCCGGCACGGAGCGTACCAACAGAGCGTTCGTAGTTTTGACAACAGCAGGCTTAGCTCGGCAATCATCGAAGCATGAGCGCTTCCTCACGCGGCGGGGCAGCTCTTGGGTTAACGTTAAAAGAGGAGCAAGATCACTCACCCAGCCTTTTGCACTCGGCGAGCGTTCCGTCTGTCTCAGCGTCTCGATTAACCAGAGAGTACTCGAACTGGTTGGAGGCAAGGGTGATGCCGTGCTTGCCCAGCTTCTCGGAGAATTCGCGCATCTACTCGTCACGACAACACCAGTGCCCCCCCCCCCCCCCCCCAAAACCCAAGGGGAAACAATGCCCAAAAAAAAACCCAAAAACGGTTAAGAAAAAAAGCCGAAAAGCCAAAAAACCAAGGCAAAGTCTAAGTTCCTTCCTGGGCCCAAAAGCCTTCATGATTCACCACCAACGGAAAAGTCCAATGAAACCCCAAACCTGCCACCCAAAATAGGCAAAACCTGGACTCCTGGCAAAAAAATGGCCAAAAAAAATTTTTCGCTTTCCAAAGGCGTTT